TTCTCACGGGTACCTCCGTTCATGCATGGGTCGTTATCAGGACAGTCAACTACAAAGAGGAGAGAAATCATACCAAACAAAACAAACATATTTAGAAGGTGAATAACACGTGACTAGCTGTGAGTACGGTCACGCTTTGTTAACAATCTTATATCAAGAATAGCAGATTGAGATATGTATTGTGACATTATCAAACTAGAGAGAAGGATCCATGTTCTGCTTTACCCCGTTTTTACGCGGAGGCAGGGGTGATGGGAATGGGATTGGTATATGGTTTAATTGTGTTTTATTTACGATCGTTAAATATGAAATACTAACATCTTAAACATATAAGAACAAAACACTCAAATGTCAAACAAAGACTATTCAAGAAAAAATTAAATGAAGATCGAGAGATCAACCCCTTCAGATCAACCAACAACATTGATATGTTCTTCCTCGGTGTCCCTATATCGGGACCGGTTACTGGCACCCGTTCCTACCACACCCTTTATTGTTATCTCAGAATGCATCCAATCACTAGTTGCACATACACTGTCGCTCATAAACTTGGAATATTTTTGTTTTTCCTCAATTTATGGAATTATTTTAAAAATAATTTAAAATAATAGATCTAGATAATAGTATACATTCTTAGATTTTATTGAATAATAATTTGACAATGTGTGTTTTGTGTGACTGCTAAAGCATGTGTATGCTACTATGCTTATCAACTAGGGGACCTACGCCCCTAAGTCATAAATGGCAGTAATGAGGATCAATGCCCCACAAAAGGGCACTAGTATAGCACATCGACACGGTTTTGATCCTGGGGCCTCACAGTTACGAGGTCATTGCTTTGTCACTGAACCATGACTGTACGCAGTGGGGGCTAGGGTAGGGGCAGTTTCCATCAATTAAAAAAAAACAGAAAATGTAATAAATTTTCAATAATTCATTGCACTTTACCTCGGTCCCCAACATAAAAAATCCTCGGTTTGCCCATGCCTTTAGCCATAATGCATGGCCGCCAAGAGGATATGTGTCGATGTGCTATATTAGTGCCCTTTTGTGGGGCATTAAAGAATGTATACTATTATCTAGATCTATTATTTTTAAATTATTTTTAAAATAATTCCACAAATTGGGGAAAAACAAAAATATTCCAACTTTATGAGCGACAGTGTACCTTTGTTTTTATTGTTGATATTTTAATAGATAGAACGTTCTCTTTTTAAGTGTGATTTATTCTACACTGCTATCACCATGATTACTCTTCTTTACTTTTCAATATTTCGGCATATATCTCCAGTTGCTCTCTTTTGTATTTTTCATCACTGTCGTTTAATGTTGTTTGATTTCTTATGTCAAACTTCCCTAGTATAACAAAGGTAACAAGTTCCTGACGTTGGTCATGAAATTAGGTGATCGAAAATTGGAGAATTGCAAACATTAGTCTTTTAATTATTAAGATTTTTGTTTCGTACAGTAAATACATTTGTCAGAAACCTCTCAAGTACAAATAAATCAAAATTGGTTGAACGTCAAAACGATCTTACGGATGATTCATGAACGTTGAAAGAAAAGATGTTGACCGTTGATAACTCAAATAACTTAAAACTTGTTCAGATAATGTTCAGGTCACGTCTTTCAGATTACGCAGTTTTGAATGTCTGGACTGTCAAATTGTATAGGATGTTTAATTAATCGTAAGTTTCATGATGTACTTATACCATTCTTAACACTTTATCCAAACCTGACCACTCACTTCATTCAAACTTACCAAAGCAATCTATAATCCATTGTCTACAGGATGTTCATAATCTATTAAACTCACACTTCCTTGAAAATTTATCTTACAACATGTTTGTATTGTACCAATTAGGACTCCCAAGATTCATTCAAATAAAGTATCTATTACTTCGATCACCCTTGCTAGCCATATTATTGCTGTTTATTCATATCTTTCGTAACCTCGGTGTGCTTTTTAACTCAACAAATTTAATACGTCTCCAAATCAGTCTGGTATCAGTTGGGTGACTATACAAAATGTCTATCTCGCAGTACCACAAGAAAGCTTACCCATGCTTTGATTTCAACCCGTCTTGATTTCTGAAATTATTTTTTTGTTTGGTTCAACCGACCTTAAAGTGACTCGGTAACATTGTTGAAGGTTAACGAAAAAACTGCGCAATCGGTGTATAAAATTTTACTCATCATATTCCTTTTACTGTACTCACCCTCTAACATGCAAACATATCCTGAACAAATTCTCAAACCAGACAGATATTTATGGTTTTCTTTGAAGGCGTCACTGTCTGACACCCTCTATTAAACAGTAAATTCTTCTAAACATTTTTGAATTTCCAGACCGTTTTTCCATGAAAATAAGACATAAGACTTAAATATCTGGAATGGTATGTAAAGCGAATTCATTGCTTTGTGACGATTTACTATCACCTACAATATAATTAAATTGTAATAATATAGTTGGGAGAGTTAAGGAATCAATCAGATCAGTTTTCCCAATTTTTATCATCAATAATGGTCTGTTTTCACTCAAACTTTCAGATTATCTTTAATTGTACATCTAGCATTGCAGTCACTACCTAAGCACTATTTTCTCTGATCTTAACAATGTTACCAAGTCCCTTTAAATTCAGTTTGATTACAGAATCTACAGAATGCTGCTGTTCGTATGGTGACTCTCTCCATCGAACATAGTCACATCACACCAGTTCTCAAGAATCCATGACACATGCTGCGCCGACGATTGCTCCGCCGACAAATATTCCGCAAAAAGCTACAATTGCTCCGCGACATTTGCTCCGACGTCAAATGCTTCGCTGACAGTTGCTCCGCCGACATTCAAGATTCAAGATTCAAATAAGGTTATATTCACGACTTGTCAAAAAGTCCAAAGACTAAAAATGCTAGTTGACATCAAAAATACAATCATATAAAAAAAACATTAAAAAACATATATTTATATATTTAAAAAAAAACATAGCAAATGGGAGAAGAAAAAATAAAAAATATATATATAAACTTGAATAAATGTTTACATCAAAACATCAAAGCGGTAAAATTAAAAAAATAAAAAAAAATACACGATATCAAATATTGCTAGCAAAATTGTGTAAATGTTTAAATCAAAAAAATAAAATAAAGTGTGTACAGATACGGGAGGGAATTCAATTAACTGTAACGTAGGAAAAACTGCGATAAAGTGCAATACAAATTTCATTCAGATGTTGTAATAAATATTAAAAAGTATTATAAAGTATTAACAATTAGAGTATTGGCAGTATGGTAATCACAAGTGTGACATGAGTAAAGTACATGTATAGCATATTGCACATGAAAAAAATTGGAAATCCTTAGATATTATTACTGTTCACAGTAACAATGACAGATAATTAAAGAATGTTGTACTGTGAAACATGATCAGAAGAGAAAGAGGTGGAGAGGAGGAGGGAGAGACAGAAAGTGAGAGAGAGAAACAGAGAGGAGGAAGGAGAAACGACGGGAGAAAGAGAAAGAGGCAGAGAGAGCAGAGCAGAGAGACAGACAGACAGAGAGATGAGAGAGAGGGGATGGGAGTGAAATAGAAATAGAGAGGAAAGACCAGAACTGAAGAAGAGAAAAGGACATTTGAAAAGTAACAAGTTCAAATAGAGAAAAGGGATGAGAGAGTAAGAGGAAGGATAGAAGTACATGCAATATCAAAATAGGAATGAATGTGAGAACCTGCTGTGCCAATCATCGATGACAGTTGATATTACATATGATTGTATTGCTGACATACATGACATATTAGTTTGTTTAATTAATTATGTCTTACGTTGTACTACCCTTATATAACTTGATTTACTGTAATATGCTTTGTATTGTATTATTGTATTATTGCAAATTATGTCCTGAAGTATGTTAAACTGTAACTTATGTGTATTTTACTTTCTTTCTTGAATTCTTGCCCACAATTATACAACTTCCACACAACTGCGCCAGGAGTGTCATTTTTGACAGACATGGCGCATTATAAATGTTCACTATTATTATTATTATTATTTATATAACATACTGATAATTACCTAAGCCTCTATTTATTATTATTCAAGGATCGAGTGTAAGATGGGATGGGAGAATTTCGGTACCTCGAAGTTCTCATCTTAGGCAAGGACAAACCAAGTGCATTTCCCAGGGTACGGCTACAGTCATTGACTCTGCTCTCAGGCAGGAGATGTCGATGAACCTTAGATTGGAGGAGTGATTCTGCAAATCTCTCTCTGAGAGGAGACGCCAAGATGAGATTGCAGTTCAACATAAGTTCTAGAGTCAGGGTAGGTAATGATCCTGAGAGCTCTGTGAACTCGCTCGATGCTTACGGAGTGGTTGTTTGTGATCCCTGATCTCCAAACAGGTGCTGCAAATTCTAGCACTGGCCTGATGTACAACATGTAGATAGTAGCAAGATCCTTGGTGGTAACACCAATCCTCCGAAGCTTAGTCAGGAGATAAAGTCTCCTGGAAGCGTTGGAGATCAAACGGCTGACCTGCCCATCCCATTTGAGATCATCCTGAAGGAAGACCCCTAGGAGCTTAAGGGGTGAGACAGCTTCCAGTGTGGTAGAGTTGATGTCAAGAACGATGGGTGGCGGGGGTTGGCGAAGAAATGAAATCTGCATAGCTTTACACTTAGCAGCATTCGGGACAACGTCGTTGTCTTTGCACCATTGGATCAAAGAGTCTAGATGCGACTGCAACTCAGATGGATGCGTTTTCTTGAAGACCTCCACGATTGTCAAGTCAAACACATATTTCCATCGGTTATCACTTTCAACAGCTGCATCGTTGATAACTTAACGACCAGAAACAGGACCGGTCCGAGGCGAGTACCTTGGGGTACCCCACAGGTGATGGCTTGTTGTTGAGATGATTTCCCATGGTAGCGGACAGTCTGCGTTCTGTTGGAAAAGAAGCTGCAGATAGTAGAGATGATAGAGTGATCAACACCTAAGTCAATCAACTTGTTCAAACGCCTTAGAAAAATCCACGACGCAAAGGTTAGCGAGAGTGCTACCCTTGTCAAGCCCTCTGTGGATGTTATCAAGCAGGCTGACCAAGTGGTGCGTAACTGACGATCCATGAAGATTACCAAACTGGCGGTGGTCAACAAACGGGCGGATGCTGCTCATGATCCAGTCCGCGAGGAAACCTTCAAAGATACACGATAACGTGGGCGTTATGGAGATTGGCCGGAGCTGATCATAGCTGGTAACAGGATTAGTTTTGGGAATAGCACTGATAGATGCATGTTTCCAAATGTCAGGGAAGCAACCCAGACTGATGCAAAGATTGAAGAGGGTGGTCAAAGGTTCAGAAAGTTCATAAGCGAACTCCTTCAACAGTCGCGAAGGGGGGTCATTGGGATGACGGGCCTTGGCAGTGCTGATTCCACAGAGGCGTTTATAAACCCTCTGACGGTCGATCACAGGAGGGGGTGAGGGCGCTGGTAGAAAAGCCGACAGAACACACCTGTCTAGTGGTGGTAATGAAGAGCAGATGGCAGCGAAGTGCGTGCTTAGCTCATTAGCAATGTCAATATCTGATCTGCCCTCAGATGAAAGATTAATCTGCTTCTTGCGGATGCCAGCAATATGACGGATTTGCTGGCCGGTGTCACTTCCCAGGCTCCGATTTCTTAAGATGTTCAACTTTGCGCTAGTAGAATGAGTCCTTTGCGTTATCGATCAACCTTTGTACATAGTTCCTCAACCGTTTAAAGTCTGGATGCCCATGTCGAAAGCAAGATTTGCGGCGATTGATTGCTCTGTGAATCTCATCATTCATGCATGGCTCATCATCTGACCTTCGTTTGACAGTAACAAGTTCAAAGTATTGTCTGAACTTGGTGTTGATTAAGTCATTGAACTCTGAAGCCATGTCATTAGCATCAAAGTCCCCGAGAAAAGACCAGTCCATCTGCTGTACCCATTGCCCGAAAGCCCGGACAGAGGAGTCACGAAAGGGGCGACAGGATGTTCTTGTAGATTTCCTGGGAGGCGGCACGAGACAAGGCAGGACGGTAACAACATTGTGATCGCTAGAAGCAATTGGCGTCGAAATCTGAGGAACACTGCAATTTTTGCAAAGTTCAAAATGAATGCTGGTTGAAAATGTTATTGTAACGTTAGATTACAGTGTCTTCTTTTTACCAGCATGTAATTGGATTGGGATCCATATTAAGCTCAACTTCTAGTTTGTGGGTAACATTTAGTGTTTTGGAAAATATGGAATTGGTGGGTGCATTTGTTTCTAAGACATAATAAATAACACATATAAGAGGATAAAGAATTGGCAAAACTGTCGATTTCAAGATGTGGTCACCGAAACCACTGGTCCGTTATCAAGGCCTAGTAGAAGGGCATTGGAGTTTCAAACCAGTTTCGATTCACGGGGAGACATCATTTCAATCTTTGCAAAGAAAAATCTTCATCGATTGTAGAATATACTTACCACAGAATGTAGGTTTTGGTGGTAATGTCACGGGAGGAGATGTGCAGCTACAATTATATGTTTGCTCGTTACTGAAACAAACGTCTGATGCAGGTACTAAAGTGAAATTGATAAAATCAAATAAAGAACCTTAAAGATAATGTTATACACAGAATAAATGCTTAATCGCCCCCACAATCAAATCATGTAAGAAACAAACTCAGACGAAGAAACAGGTAAAGAGAGCATCAAATGAATTAAATCAAGAACCTGTATGTAGCTGAACAGAAGTACTAAACAATTAAAGATGTAGACAAGAAGAAGCCCAGTATTGTTTTGATTTAATCGCCTGCACAGCAGACCTCACTTTCCGTGATTTTACCAAATATATCGAAATACATTCAAAATTAGTGATAAAGAGAGACTATTAAAGTATGGAAGCACCCAGAAAATAGAAGAACTAATTGTAAGATTTAGAAAGTTTTCTGTCATGACGTCGGTTAAGATTAAATTTCATTTGGTCGTAAGAGGGCGGTTGTAGTTCGCCAGCCTAAAAGTCACGAAATTTGAAATGTTTTGTGGACAGTGATTCCATCAGTAATCCCCGACAATCGAGACAAGCCCAATGTTGTAAGTACTATAAAACTGTTATTTGTATAAATCAATCTTTAATTGTTTGTATGAGGCCAAAAATGGCACAAGATATAAATCTAGTTTTTTGTAATTTTAAGATGAAAAGTACGTTAAAATGTTGTCTGTGCATGTAGCACCACATATAGACAAACGTAGGATAACGTGTGTGAATGCACAGTTTGTGCATATATATCAGTTTGTGTTGAGGATAATCTAGATTTGTGTGTAATGAGTGATGATAATTGACATGAAACAAGAGTGTGAATTGTTTTCCTTGGTTATAAAGAATGTCAATTTAATCATGAAATGCAACCGTCCTTGCACTGCTATTGCTTCTCATTTGTTAAAGCGATAAACCGCCCCAGATTTGTTTTTCCATACTGAACGAATTGCTTCTGTTTGATTTGGTTTGTAGTTGTATACTGCGTATATGACCAGTTGTCCTAATAATGCCGATCTCTTCCCCAATATTTTTCCAAACACTCTCTATACAGTATAACTAGAGCCATCCCAGCCCATCCTTCACACATGTTATGCCAACAGAGATTCATAGTACGTGTTTGTATCCATTTTTTCTTTTTCATCATCATCATTATCATTATGTGTCTTCTCTCTTCCTTCTACATTCGGTGTTATGCGTATTGTTTTGTTTCTCCTTTTGTGTCCTCTCTGTTGGCAATTATCCTTATTTTACTCATGTAACTTACTATTATTGAATACTACCACCCGAGGGGTCCACGATTTACAAGCATCGCTTCACAGTGGACCTCTCCGTTTCCAGCTTAACATTAATAAATTATTTTAAGCAGCAATATTTCTTGATATTCAAATATGTAATTCTGTTAAATTCATATTTTGTATTGCATGGTTACTACTTTGATTGTTTATTGTAATGATATTTCTATGAATACTGTATTCTTTTGCTGGAAATGAGAAAAAATAAAATTGAATTGAATTGAATTGAAAAAAGGGTGTAGAAGCAAATAGGAATTTTAGTTCAGGAACCAAGTAAAGAGTGTAAGATAGAGGGAGGAAATAAGGCTGGTCGAGGGTTTATTTGTGTATGACGTTAACCTACAAGATAGAGAGGTATGATTTGTAAGGGTTATATTTGTAAACAAAGGTAGAATTTGAGACAGTTCATTAGAATAAGATAAATGAGGCAGTTATACAGTTTGTGTTTGCACAAGTGAGCTTCACTCACATAGTTTATTCTTGAAGGTTTTCTTTACTCAGTTATGCATATTAAGGCATTTATGGCAAGCTAGTTGTGCGATACAATAGATGTTTGTTTATTCATGTGAATTTGTACACATGCTTATGATTGTTTGTTTTATTGATATTACAGATGAACTGCATTTTATGCACGTATCTCAACTTGGATGTCGTCGTCCTTTCTTTAAGCCTACTGTTGGGGTCACTTCAGCAGAATTTAACGTCACACTAATGTTGAAAGGTGAACCGATGAGGATGGAATGGGATAAGGATAAGTCAGGTGTAGTCTCATCAATGATGATAAAACATCAACGAAAGAGACATGAACTTGGCGAAGGTGATTGAAATAAAAATGGAAATTAGTTAAAGAGCATGAACAGCCAGAAGAGAGGGATAACAATTTCAAGAACGACAAATAACAAACTGAACCTCTTACAATAAAATCATCAACTAAAAAAAAAGTTAAGTTCGGATGACGTGAGTACAATGTGAAAGAAACTGTCTAGAATCATGAAATGTAGATAATGTAGCTCATAAGAATCGGGGTAAAATGTGAGGTTTGGAAATAATACAAATTATAAAAAAAGTACCCAGTCTTGTTGAAAGTTACATGTACTGCACAGAGAAATGAGTATATGGGACTGCACACATAAATATGGCATAAAGATTTTGGCCATCAAGCTTTCCAGCTATTTATTATTATTCCTTAAATTTCATGGCATGTAGAGAGCAATACCTTCCAGAGGACGTTTTGAACATGATTCTCTGCCACAATAACATAAAAGGAATAAGAAAGATCACATAAGTCTTTTACAAGACCTTGTTTAAACCAAGTTGGCCAAAGCGGATCGAACATTCCTATCTGATGTCCGCGAACTTTGGACGTCCTATCATACCTATCTCCGACCCGTTCATAGATTGAATTCGTGGAGCATGAAATAGTTTCCTTTCACGAAGAATTATTATATGGGAGGAAACTATTAAGAGCTCCTTATATTAACCTTTGATCGCGTGTGAGCGCGTGTATCAAAACAATAACATTCTGAAAGAGATGGTTGTGACATGCGCATATTAAACAATATAGGTTATTATTTCGTTTATTTCCATTTCCAACAAAATAAATAAAGTGCATGGGATTGCATTGTACAATAGTAAAACAATGAAACTTAACAATATATTTGTAATTGGTCCACAGTGTACAACAGGCATATAACACAGGTTGGTCATGGAGGGGACTGCTGAAAAGCTGGGCTTGTAGATTGCAGCCCCCTATAACTTACAGTTGCAAAAATAGTACATCAATAATAAAAGAACGCACAAATACATAAACCAAATTGACATAACATAGAAGGAGTGAAAGGGACAGGGAAAGAAGGGAGACAAGGAACGAGGGAGGGCAGGGCTCTTACCTATAACACACACAACACAACACAACACGGACCGACTGGAATACGGATGACCAGTACAAAATGAATCAAAATATACAAATGTATTTTATTGAGTTAAATAAATTTAAAGAGGGAGAGCTAACGCTTGATAATTACGCAAAAAAGATTTTTTTATTTTGAATTTAAAAGAATTTAAACTGGGGGCATTCTTGATGCTAACATCAAGAATGGTCCATAGCTTCGGGCCTGCGTAAGTGAATATGGATTTAGCAAGTAAAGTTCTAGTTAATGGCAGATGAAATTCGTCAGATTGGCGCGTAGGGTATTTGTGTATAGTTTTATTTTTGATGAACATTAAATTGAAGGCTGAGGGTAGCGTATTGTTATTTAACTGGTACATAAACTGTCCGAGGTTATAACGATATAAATCATTTATTTTCAACACATTATTTTCAACAAATAAAACGTCAGTATGAGATCTCCAGGAAGTGTTACAAACAACACGCATAGTTTTTTTTTGTAGAAGTAGTATTCTATGAAGATAAGAATCGTATGTATTACCCCAAACAATAATACCATAATTTAAGTAGGGCAAAACTAATGTCGAGTAAAGCATTAGTAGGGAGGAGGTTGGCAGAAAAAACTTAACCTTATTTACAATCCCTATTAACCCATGGAGTTCCAAATAGTTCCCTTCCACATACAGTCTCTCATGGAAGGGAAGAGTTTGAAGCTCCATGAAGTGCCAGACAAATCAGAAGCAACTTCCAATAAGGTAACTATGTCTCTCAACTAGCTATGGTCACAGTCACAAGTATCATGTCCACATGTATATTTAATTGAAGCTATGCCTCAACCTCTGCTCCTTAAGAATGAAATGGACTATTGGAAAGCGCAGATAGATAATAACTTACTTCTTTGAAAATGTAAGAACACGAGAAAGACGACATAGATCCATAAATGCTTCATCTTCAGCTGTGAAGAAATAGAAAAATAAATACTTTGATAAATGATTCATTCATCAACCAAATTCATATTAAGTCCACTCACAGTTATTACATTGGTGATTCAAATTTGAGAATAAGACTTTCTTTTCATTTCATGTTCTTTACTCGCTTAATATTCACAAGACAGTACATACAAGAAATCAAGGTTAGCACATTGAGGTGAACATGATACAAATAAAATTAAAAACATTCATATAGACAAACAAAGTAATACCGTTAGGGAGAGAAACAAACATACCAGTGA